CCACACTCCCCACAAGCACGTACACAGTCTCTCACACACACCCACACCCACTTCCCCATAGACTCCTCTCTCCACACACCCATCCACACAGTCTCATCCCACACACACAGACACAGACACACAGATACACAGACACACACACACACAGACTCCTATCCTGAAACAATCTAAGGAATATATTTTCTTTCTGTATCCTTCTTTAGAGTGAATCAGGGGAAAAACAATCCCCCTCCTGGCTGCTTTAGGTCTTCAGCCCTTATCCCTTTCTGTCCCCACCTCCACTCTCTATGCCTGCTTCTCTCTCAGTTACAAGAACAGCCCCGGGAGGTCTGGACCCAAGTTTCTCAGATGCCACTGAAATGAAGCATAGTTCAGAGGTCACCCAGAGTCAGAAGCACCTTCCATGTCCTCACGGCAGGGAAACTCACTTCCTCTTTGGCTACCTGGACAGCAACGATTCTTTTCTCAGTCCCAGAGGAATACAGCTAGACCTGCCCTGGAGCAACGCCACTACACCTGGAGCTCTCCCTCCTCGGGGGAGATTCTAACACCCTTAGCCCCTCTCTGCAATGGTTTCACATTGCCTATGGGACAAAGAAGAGACCACTGACTGGTGTTTAACACAAATATTTGTTTAAAACATTTAACAAATGTTTATATTTGAGTGCTAGCATTTAAGCCTCACAGCACTGTTAGGCTGGGTAGTTCTCCATTTTACAAATGAGAAAACTGAGCATAGAGGTGTTCAGTGACTTGTCTATGGTCACACAGTAAGTAAATTGTGGAGACAAGATGCAGATTCTTCTGACTCCAAAGCTACAACTAAGAACTGAAAGATCCTTTCTATAATCTTAGGTTCAGGGAACAGCTTTGTCATAGATGGCTTTATCTTCCACTGTGACATGCACAGCCTTTTCCTGGGCTGGGCTTGAATATGAAACCATATGTGACTTGGAATCTCCACCTTTCTGGGGAGATCCAAGCACTTTCTCTTGACTCTGGTGAGAATCCTCTCCATCCATCCACCCATCCACCCATCCACCACCATCTATCCAACCGCCCACCTGTCTAACTAAAACCTTTCTGAGTCCTAATTTACTCATCTATAAAGTGGGGATAGTTGATGTAAGGTGTAAGCATTGCAAAACATGTTAAATATCTGACATATAGTGGGTGCACTAATGTTTATTCCGTGATGCCTTTGGCCTTGTTAAAGAGTCCGTTTCAGGAAGACTTTAATTCTTTGAAACATCCCATTCCTGTGGCTGGATGATGTTCAAAGAGCTCCATCCTTTGATTTATGGCTCTGGGGACCTGGTGCTCTGAGGAAGCCCTGGGTCCTTTTTATTAGCTGTGTCTATCCGGCTTCCACAGAGAACAGTAAGGAAGTCCCACAAAGGAGAACCGTGGGCAGGGGGATCATGAATGACGTAAACAAAAGTCAGGAGCAGCCTGCAAGCTTCATCATAGAGGAGTCAGGCGTGGGGGGAGGGGCTGGAGAGCAGGAAGTTTAGATTAGCGGCCCACCTTCCCTCCAGACTTCTTATCTTGCAAGAAGAAAGCTTGTGCAACATTGAACTATAAAAATGCTCAGTTGGGCCTTTGATGTGTCTTCTCTGTAAGGAGCCCCGGCCTGGCCTGGGAGAGAAGGAGGTGGAAAACTTAAGGCCTGGGTTTGGACGGCAGTGAATAAAGCTGGCAAGGTTGCAGCCTGGATGTTTTCCTGGATAGAAGACGATTGTGGAACTGGTTATGCCTGACATTCATACAGCACTTTACAGTTTTCACAAAGTTTCCATATGGGCCATCACATCACAAACCTGCATGTTGAGAAGGGCAGGCATTTTGTGCCTGTAGGGAATCAGAATATGCCACCCCAAAATATGCCACTTCGGCAGAAGGATTATTTGGAGCTGAAGACAATTGAGAAACAACAGACACCAACAAAAGCTCTCTGTCCTCACCCCCTATCTGCCTAAAAGCAGAACACAAATTTTCATTTGCAAAGGCGTCTCCCTCTCCTGTACTAAGATGAGGACCCAGGAGGACAATCTTAGATCTTAACTGCAGACGACAACTCTAGACTCTTATCAGCTCAAAGATGGCACCGCGAGGACTCTTCATAACCCATCTTACCAAAATAACCCCTATCTTCTATTAGTTTCCCATATATTTGCCTACTCGGTCTTCCCTTTGTCTTATCACTGCTCCATAAATGTATTGTTCCTCATTAAGATGCCACACAAGCTCCTTTGGGACACTCCTCACTGAGTTTCTCCCACGTGTATGCATGCTGCACTCATTCATAAACTGTGCTAATTTTTTCTCTTGTTAATCTGTCTTCCATCAGTTTAATTTCCCAGCTGCAGAACCTAGGAGGATAGAGGATAGAGGAAGAGTTTTCCCTCCCCTATGATACCTATTATATAGATGAAGACGCTAATGCAGGGACAACTGGCTGTCCACCTCCCTCCACTCCTCCCATCACCAATCACTGATCACCGAGGCTCCAACCCCATCTCCTGACTCCTAGTCAGGGCCCCCTTCCCCTTTCCAGAGCCCCTCTTTTCACAAGGCCCCTAGATATGAAGGAAGAGTTATTTCACCATGTCTTAGGCAGTTGTGACTTCCAAAATAGTTTGGAGACGCTGCTCTTTCCTTTTTTGTTGTTTTGAATTAGTTCAAATCAGTTTTACAGAGCACTTGCCACGTGCCAGGGAGCTACCCTCCCGAGCAAACACAGACCATTAGAACTCAGTGGGCGAGGGGTGTGGTCTGGCACTGGCTGTGCCGAAAGGAGCATCAAGTTACCCTGCCAATAACCTCCTGGAGGAGGTGAGTCAGCAGCCCAGACCTAAAAGATAAATCAAAGGGACCTGGGCGAAGGGAGCAAGAGGAGAGAGGGTTCTGGATAGAGGAATCCCCGCCTGCAATGACCAGAATGCAAAGAGCTTGGTGAGTTCGGGAAAGTGAAGAGGTTCAGTATCTGGAAGGGTGACGTGGAAAGAGGCGGGAGGGGAACCGGGAGTGGTGAGATGCAAGGCTGCTGACGGGCAGGGGACAGAGTTCAGGGGACTAGGCAACACCACTGAGGGGTCAGTCTTCCTCCTAACAGCAATGGAAGCCTTCGGAAGGTTTTAGCAGGGGCATAATTATCACTGCATCCGACTGAAGTGAGACAAATGGGTTGGAAAAGGCAGGAGGTGAAGAGCTAAACCTGGGGGATTTTATTTTTCGATATTTTTTCAGTATGTCTTCACCATTAGACTGAGAACTTCTGGAAGGCAGAGAATAAGTAAGAAGACATGGTCCTACAGTAGCCAGGGCTCCCACAGAAGCATGCTTCTGGAACAAGCCTTTTATAGATATTACTAGACTCCAGGTGCCCACCGTGTGCCAGACAGAGCCCATGTAGACCCAGGCTCCCTCAAGGAGCCTGTAATCTAGTGTGCCATATAGACAAGTGAACTTCACCCAGGTGTCTGCATCAAGTCCTGTGGAAGTACCGTGGGGGCATGGCCAGCTTTGTAGACATCAGGAAGGCTTCTCAGAGGGGGTGACATCTGAACTGGGTCTTAAAGGGTACAGAGGAGTTTGTTGGGTAGCTAAATTTTGATCAAAGAATAGAGATCTCCACTTAACTTGAAGGACAGTAAAGTGAAAGATTATAATAGCACCTTGGGAGACATTCGTTAAGACTGCCCCACGCCTGCTTCCCTGCTCTTATAGGTGATGCCTGAATCCCCCACCCCACTGCATCCCCAGCAGCCAACCTAACAACACTGGGACTTCAAATCCCCTATCCTCTGACATTTTCGTCACATAAAAATGTGAAGGAAACTTGGTGTAGTATTTTCATTAAGAACAGATGGACCTGGCCTCAAATCAGGGTGCTGCCACAACAATTTATAGGCAAGTCACCTTGACTTCTTTACACCTTTGGTTCCTTATCTGTATAGTGGGAGTGATAGCAGTTCCTGCATCACAGCATTGGTGGGCAGACTTCTGTACGAGTTAGGATGCCATGGTATCTCAGCTCCAAAACCCTTCTGTACTCTGCTTTGTGATGATGGGGCTGAGTTGCTGCAAATCACATTTTTGCTTGATCAGCTGACTTTAACTTAAGCTCTGTCAGTGGGGGTGCTAGAGAGGGCTGCACAATTAGAGGGCAAAAATAAGACTTGCTCCTTCTTGTCTGCTTCCTCTGGGCTTCCTGTGTCAAGGAAGAGATCAGGAAGGTTCCTCAGGGGAGGCAGCATCTGAACTGGGTCTTGACGGATGGAGACGAGTTTGTTGGGTGACTATGACCATCACCCCAGCAATGCTTTTTCACTCTGGTAGCAGCAATGCCTCCCCACGGCAGTAGCTGAAGCCAGTTTGCAGTTTTTCAACACAGAATTAGCTTCATCATATCCAGGCAGAGACATCAGCACCAGCCCAGCAGTGCCCCCTCCTCAGCCATCTGAGTCTCAGCTCACAGGGTCCTTCCACTAAGCCTCTAAATTTTATCAATTCTTTTTCCCCTGTTGTTCCCCCCTCATCCTTAGGGGGACAGCTGCTTTCTGCAGTTGCTATCTCTGTTAAACTTTATAGATCTCACTTTACCCTTTCAGTTATCTAGTTAACCATTTTATACCTAGTTAACAATCCTTTATATTATATTCTCTGTTCAAGTAACTGACATGGTTTCTGTCTGCTGGCTGCACCCTGAGAGTTATAATTAATGAAGAGATATGCTACTGACCCTTTCGAGTCAGTTCCCAACAAGGGTCCTCCTGTCCAGTGTTGCTCGTGCCAACAGAACAAGACCGAATTTGGTGCAGAAGCACAGGAAAGCTTTACTCTTTGATCAAAGGATGGAGAGATGCGAGCTCGCGCTCGCTGTACGCGCCGTGGGCGGGGCTGCTTTGCTGGGATCTCGTCCGCGGAGTTCTCGCGGGGCCGGCACAGCTGCTCACGCCGCAGGTCTCGCGGCCGTCGCAGCGTCTCTGCACCCGGCCGCCGCCACCATCTTGAATTGAGGTGTCCGCGTGGCCGTTTCACACTAGGAACTCTGGTCTGAGGTGTCGCGGCAAGGCCTCTGCATGCGCCCCCCATGAGCAAGTAAAACTAGATGAAGCACGAAGGAAAAGAAAAAGGTTAGACTTTATTTTATTACCCAGATTCTGTTTTAATTTCCTGAGAATTGTTAATGGGCTTTGCCGGCGACAAACTCCTCCGCTGTCTTTCGTCCTGCTCCTCATTCTCCAGGGATGCTGAGGGGCGCGGGTCCGACTCCTGTTACTACCTCCCTGCTGATTTGGGGCATCGTTATAACCCCGGGTAGAGGAGCAGAACTTCTCTCCGGCCACCTTTAGATGTGTTTGATGGTCTCCAGGTTGCAGCCCTGATTGTTTGTATTCTTGAACGACCACCATTTGTCTAATCTTTGGAGATAAAGAGGCGGAGAATTTAAGATACACGGCCCAGATATTAGCAGGAGAATAATGGTCACATGTCAAAGTTTTCTTGAAAATGAAGGTATCTGGGTTTGCCCGCAGGCAAAAGTATGCTCTGATGCTGAGGCTCGCTGCCGTGGCCTGAGGATTCCTGGTCTCACGTTTGTTGTTTTTCGGAAGAGAAGTTTCGGGTCGGGGAGAGGTTCACACGCGTAATCAAGGGGCTCATTGTCCCAGGTTGTCTCTCTGGAGGTTGGGGCTTGGAAGCCCTCTTCATTCGAGTGCGATGTCCCCCCCCCCCCAGAGTGATTCCTGCAACTTTGGGGCAGAGCAGGTGGTTAGGATCGCCACTGGGGGATCCGTTCCACTTGAGTGAGTTGGTTTTGCAGGCTGCCAGTTTTAGGTTCACACAGTCTCCTGACCCAGCGGGTTGGCAGTACCTGGTCACCATATTCCATGAGAGATTTCACGGTCTCTCTCCTCCCTGGAGAAATCACTTGAGCTGTTCCATTTCAAAGGGGTTAAGGTGTACCTTCTCTCTGGCTTGAGAATGAGCCTACCATACATAAGCTCAGATGTGCTTAACTTACCCCTTGGGGCTAACCTCATGCAGAGGAGGGCAGTTGGGAGCAACTTGATCCAGTTTTCTTGTTTCCTGACATGGCTTGATTAAGGCCTGTTTCAAGGTCTGATTGAATCCCTCCAGTTTCCCCAATGATTTGGGTCTCCAGGCTGAGTGCAAGGTCCATTTTATGCCCAGGGCACTTGTTATCCCCTTCATCACTTGAGATACAAATGCTGGACCATTATCGCTTTGTGGGGATCCTGCAAGACCAAACCTAGGGTTTTGTTTTTTTTTTTTTAGTTAACACCTTAACCACTTCAGCTGCCATTTCAGTTCTGGTGGGGAATGCTTCTGTCCACGCAGAAAATGTGTTCATTAGCACCACGAGGTACCTGAAATTGCCGTGTACTCTCAGCATGACAGTGAAATCAATCTTCCAGGCTTCTCCAGGATATGTCCTTCTGGTCTGAATTGCCTTATCTGGGGGCCCTTGGGGGCCCTGTTACTGGGGTTGTTCATTGAGCAGATAGGGCAGGTCTCAGCTATCCAGCTGATTATACTCTTCATCCTGGGAGTTACCATGACCGCAATTAACCAGTTACGTAGGGCTTCCCTCACAGTGAGTTCCTTGATGAGCCTCCCTGATGGCTTGACAAGCTGCAGTTTGGGGAAAGTATCGCCCATGTTCATTAACTAGCCACCCATGGCCTCTTAGATCTCTACTGATGCCCCATTTTCGGGCTTTGTCTAATTCTTCCTTTGTGTCAGCTGGGGAATAATTGGATGGATCTGGTCTTCAAGGTATGAGGGGTAGTTGCCAACTTACTGGTTCTAGGGTCCCCCTTTTGGCAGTTGCTTCTTCCCTTTATTACCTCTGCATCTCCCTTTTGGTGACCCCTATGATGAATCACTACCATTTTTTTTTTTTGGAAGCTATCCTGCTTCTAAGAGCTCCAATATGCTTAAGCCTGTTTAGTCTCCTTCAGTATGTTTCACCTGTTTATTCTCCACAGTAAGCATACCTCTTTCCTTCCAAATAGCCCCGTGTGCATGTAGGATGGCATGTGCATACCAGGAATCTGTGTAAACATTTAAGATCTTCCCTGTCCCAAGCTCTAAGGCTCGGGTGAGGGCCATCAGCTCAGATTTTTCGGCTGGAGTTCCTGAGGGTAGGCTTCGTGCCTCTACTACTTGGGTGTGGGAGGTTACTGAGTATCCCGTCAGCCTTTTTCCCTCTCTCATAAAAATGCTCCCATCTGTAAACTGTTCCTCTTCTACCTTTGGCAGAGGCTCACTTCCTAGGTCAGGGAGATTGGAATAGATTGTGTCTGTAGTTATACAATCATGCTCCAGGGGCCCCCCATTTCTGTGGGTAGCAGGGGGGCGGGATTTATTGTGTGACAGGTTTTTATGGTAGCCACTAGGTTGATTGATTTCCTTTATCTTATTCCAATTGACAGTTTTCCGGTTCTGCAGGATGCACCGTAATGAGCTATCCTTTGGTATGGTGGATTTTTGGTTCGCCATACCTCAGATGTTCTGTTTTGAATTTGTTTCCAACTACCAAGGGGGCACTTGGAGTGAATTTGTTAGCATGCAAATGCCATAGCTTTGACCCAAATGAGATTTCTGGTTTGGAAAATTTGGAACCAGCACTAAACTGTTAATAAATACCTGAAAAGATCAAAAAAGGAGGCATCCACATGGTCTGGGTCTCTGCTGTAACTGGGGCTCCCCCCTTGAATTTGTAAAGGCCTGTGCTTGAGATAGTCTCTCCCAAGTCTGAATATCCCACAGGAGGCTAGACTAGACTGCCTCATTCGCCACATTAGTTCCTGAGCAACTTGGGTCCCTTAGGGAGTGGCACAGCTGTTGGAGGCAGGGGTCTTCTCTTTCCGCCTTTTGCATGAAAAGGAAGGGTTTTCAGGCTTCTTGCCAAGTGAATGCTAAAAGCTAAAGTTCCTCTAAGGGATTCCCACAGAGCGCTCACTAGGTTGCTGGGGAAGCTGGTATTCTGTGTTGATACTGGGAGGAGAGCCTGCGGAACCTCGGTCAACAGTTACCCAAGGTTCGCCTCACAAGCAGAGGGAGGAGGAGAGGTGGGGTAGTGGGTGCTTCCTGTTCTTGCTAGTACCTCACAAGGCTTCTCAATAATGGGGTTTCTGGTCTTGCAAGTGGCTCACAGGGCCCCCAAGCCCACTTCAGAGAAACTGGCCCTGACCAAAAGAGGTCAAGTCACTGGTCTAGTACCTACCTTGGAACCCTTTCACATTCGGGCATCCCTGGTGCCTTTTCCTGAACTCAAATCAAGCATCCTTATTCTGTTGTTCTGTTTTGTCAGGTGGTCCTCATTATCTGGGCCTTCCCCAGTCTCGCCTCTTGGCTCCCAGGGCTGGCCGCTTACTTTTACCAAACTGAAAGTGACTATGGAGAATGTGGTTGGTGTGGAGGGCAAAAAGCCCCAGTGCGGCGTTACTGCCTTGTACAGGGGTCAAGAGGACAGCACTATTGGCGAGTCACTGGGCAAGACTTGTGTGGCGGCTTCTCACCCACAAGACCCCACCGTTCCCTATCCCCCCACCCACTGGGCACTGCGGGAAGACAAGCCAGAGGCAATGGGCAGGCATGTGTGAGTTTCAGTCTCCAATCCCCAGTGATGCTGATGCTGCAGTTGATCCCCACAATGGGGCATGATGGTCCAGATTACTCTGGGGCCTATACTGTGTTTGCACCACACCCGGGTATTGGGTTGCTGGGCAGAGTTTCTTTGAATTCAGCTGAAGACTTCTGCTATTTTACCGCATGAGAGTGAACTCACAGACCAGAGTCATTCATCCTCACTCAAGCCTCCCAAAGCCTCTGCCGTCCTCCTGCTAGAGTCAGGGACAGCCTGGAGCCTAGTGGCTAGGTGCATGCGAAGAAGCCATGGTCTGTCCCTTTGTGGTTGCCAAAATTTGTTACTTTCGAAGTCTGACTCCCATAAGGGCCCTCCTTCCTGGTGTTGTTTGAACCAATAGAATGAGATGCAGTTTGGTTTCGAAGTAAAGGAAAGTTTTATTCTTTGATCAAAGAGTAGAGAGGTATGCGCTTGCACTGTACAGTACACGCTTTCCCTGCAGGCCGTCTTGGAGCTGCTTTACAGGGTTCTCATCAGCAACGAGGCAGGAAGAGTTCTTGTGGGTTGAATGCAGCTGTGCTGCCCATGGGTCCATACTGCAGTACTGGGTGCAGTGCTTCTGCACATGGCCTGCTGAGCTGAGGCATCGGATGCAGCCAATTCATGCTGGGAACTCTGGTCTGAAGTGCTGGATGCAAGGCCCCTCTCTGTATGCAGTACCCCATGAGCAAATGATGCTAGACTAAGCAGAAAGGGGAAAAAAAAGGTTAGCCTTTATTTTATTACACAGATTCTACTTTTATTTCCTGGGAATTGTTAATGGGTTTTGCTGGTAATGTATGTAATATATATAGATATATATATATATATACCACCAGCAATATATAGATATAGATATAGATATAGCTGTGTAATGTTTGCTACATACTAAACTCTTAATGATGCTTCTGATTGTGATTCCTTATGGGTTCCTAACATTCATTTATTTATTCATTTGTATATTCAGCATATGTTGTTTCCTACTATGTGTCAGACCCCATGTGAAGTACTGGGATGCAGAGCTGAGTAAGCTACAGTCCAGTCCTCAGGAAGTGCACAGTCTGAGTGGAGGAGACCACCAGGAACAGGAGCCCACCTCAGGAATGGTTCTTGGCACCTCTTCCAGGAACCTTCCATTGCTGATCTCACTGCCCAGTTACTCCATCTCCCAAGCCAGCCAGAATTCTGATGTCCAACCACACAAGCATTCTTCATCTGGCACATTTTTAAACACCTGTTTTTGACAGACCTCCAGAATTAACACTTACGGCAAGGTAATTTGAAACACTCTTACACTATCGTTATTTATTTGCGTATCTTACTATCCTTAGATGATAGATTACTTGAGATTGATTTTCCCAAGTGACTTGTTTCTGTATCAATTAATAGGCCTAGCACAGTGCCTGGGACATGATAAAAAGGTGATAAATGAATTAATTCATCTGGTCAACAATATTGAGCTCTTACTATAAAGCAGGCACCAGACTAGGTACTGGGAAGATGAGGACAAAGAAACCAATGGGATCCCAACTCCTAGTGGATGGATGTCTGATCCAGTGACCGAACCTGGACAACCTCTGAGGACCCAGACCTTCGTGGGGCTGGAAGTGGTTCCATTAGCCTGGTATGACGCATTCTTTCGGCACCTCCTCTGCTTCCTTCCTGCCGAGCCCTCAGTGGGAGATGGCAGCCTGCTGTGGTTTACCTTATGTCCTGAACACTGGTGACCAAAGGCTATATTTAAATAGCAAACATTTGCATTTTTAATGTTGATGGGAATTGAAAGGTTGTGATAACCTTTCCAAGCTGATATTGGTTTTTACATGATTGAAACAGTCCTGGCCTCAGGCATTTCTTAAATGGAAAATTTAAAGGATTTCCAATATCAGTGAGAGGGCAGAACCATCTCAGAACACTGTGTCCTGTTTGTATTCTCAGAAAATACCACCTCCCTCCCCTGAGCTCACTCAGCGCCTTTGCCTTGTCAACATTTTAGGATCCTCTTAACCTTCACTTGGTCCTCTTTACCTTTTTGGAGAGTAGACAGCATGAGGACCACTAGTCCCATCTCCTTGGGAAGAAAACTGATTCTCAGAGGTGCAGACTGCCTACCTTTCTAATCCTCCTTTTCCACATCTGTAACAGGAATAAAAGCAGTTTCACAGGTTTGCTGTGACATTCAAATGTGGTAATCTGTCAAGACACTTAACATCCCATGCCTGGTACTTTGCTAATGCTCAGTGGACATTACTTTGTCTCCGTCCCCTGGCAGTGACTTGTCTAATGTAACCCATCAAAATCAAGTGAGAGCCCTACACTCCTGGCTCCTTGGTCTCTTTCCAAGAGGCTCACTGTACAGAAACAGATTAAAGCACACATATTTGGGTTAAAAGCAGAAGGACTCATTTCCATCTTCACTCTGTTCTTACTATCCTCATTAACAAAATATGCCATGACAGCCTGTCTGAATACTTCGTGGCATCTCTATTTTCCTTCTCTGTTTTCATTGTAGTAAAAGTCACTGCATGGTCCAGTATGGGAGTCAATAGCCACATGAGGCTATTTAAATTTAAATTAATTACAGTTAAATAAAATTTAAAATTCAGTTCCTGCGTCATAGTAGCTGTATTTCAAAGGCCCAGTAACCACACGTGGCTAATGGCTACCGGTACAGATATAGATCATTTTCATTATCACAGAAAGTACTTTTGAAGAATGCTAAGTGAGAGAAAGAGAACCGGAGAGGAAAGAAAGGAAGAAAGGAAGGGAAAGGAGAAGTGAGGAAAGAAGAGGCAAATTGGTTTTTTAGAGCATTCCTCATTCATGTACACCCATGCACGTGTTCATCCAGGCATGGAAATCAATCTCTGTGTCACATTCTAATGGAAGATGGATTTTTTTCTTCTCTGAAAGAGTCAGTGCCTGAGAAATTTTTAAATTTAGTTTGGCCCAGTAGACATTATTGTTTAAAGCTCAGATGTGATCTTTTCCTTCCCTGCTGGAAAGAGTCCACAGCTCTTCATGGCCTACTAAGAAAGCCCCATATCCTCAGCATGTTTCCAAGGCCATCATGATTCACTCCCACTATATTCTGTCCCCATTCACCGCAGACACATTTTCCCTATCTTGCCTGACAGCCACCTTCTCCAAGGCATCTTATACTCTATACTCCTTGCCTTAGCTCCTGCTGAGTCCACTGCCTGGAACACCCCAAAAGGCATCATCTCCACCTATAGATACCGGTCAACACGTTCAAATTCCTTCTCCTAATTCTGCCTTCCCTAGTTCTGCTGGTCTATTGTGCTTCTGCATCCTGGATTTTATTCATGTATTTCAGAGCATTTGCCCAGTTGGATCCATGTCTCTTCACTGTATCCCCTCACAGTGGTGATTCTCATACTCTGTATGGGAGAAAGACCAGTATTTTTTTTTTTTGGTTTAGTTTATGTTTTTGTAAATTTCCAATCTATTACAGATGGGTGATTTTGTAAAATAAAATGAAATTTAAAAAAATAGACATATAAAATATGAACCTTAGTTATTGTATTGTTAGATTCAAATTGCTAAAAGATTTCTAAAACCCTTACTCTCAATTTCTATATTTTTCTCATCTTTGGCCAGTAACAGTTTTCAGGCCACACTTGGAAAAGTAATGCTCTCCAGCCCTTGCGAGAAGTCTCTGCATGTGGTCAGTGCTTGATATGCTTTATGGACCATTGGAAACTCTGCCAGTGCTCCTCCAGATGTCAGAGGGGGTGCACAGAGGAGTGTCTTTGTGGAGGAGACGTTAGAATGAAAGCCCCTCTGTGATGATACTTGCAGGAAGACTTGAGTGAGGACACCAGTTTTACCTTTTAAATAGCTTCCTGACCCTGAACTTACCTGAAGGTAGGCTTGACCTGAATCTAGACCAAGGTTTTTAAACTCTTTAGTGCCATGGACCTAGCTGATAGTCTAGGGAGGCCTGTTCTCAGAGTGTTTTAATGCTCAGTATTTTAAATGCAGAAAATAAAAACCACAGGATTTCAAAGGAAGTCAGTTATTCTCAAATATAATTATTAAAGTGTGTGGTACAGAAATGTTTCTTTATTAACACATTAAAATAATCTTTGTGTTTGATTGTTTAGTATAGCATGCTACTAAACAACCAGTAGATCACTGAAGAAATCAAAGAGGAAATTTAAAAAGTACCAGGGGACAAATGAAAATGAAAACATAACAACTCAAAAACTATGGGTGTTGGTGGTATAGTGTTGAGCATAGCTGTCTTCCAAAAGCTATGGAATTCAGCAAAAGCTAGGAGGGAATTTTATGGTGATACAAGCCAACCTCAGGAAACAAGAAAAATCTCAAACAAACAACTAATCTTACACCTAAAGGAGCTTAAAAACAAGAACAACAAAACTCAAATTTAGTAGAAAAAAAAGAAATCATAAAGAGCAGAGCAGAAATAAATGACAGACTGAAAAAAAAAACAATAGGAAAGAGCAATGCAACTAAGAGCTGGTTCTTTGAAAAGATAAACAAAATTGATAAAACTTTACCAGACAAATCAATAAAATCAGAAATAAAAAAGAAGTTACAACAAACACCACAGAAATACGAAGAATCCCATAAGAAACTAACTACTATGAACAACTATATGCCAATAAAATGAACAACCTAGAAGATATAGGCAAATTCATAGAAATTTGTAATCTCCCAAGACTGAACAGGAAGAAATAGAAAATATGAACAGACCAGTTACCACTAATGAAATTGAATCTGTAATAAAAAACATTTCTGAAAAACAAAGGTCTAGGACCAGGTGGCTTCACAGGTAAATTCTATCAACCATTTAGAGAAGAGTTAACACCTCTCCTCCTCAAACTATTGCAGAAAATTGCAGAGGTAGGAACGCTTCTGAATTCATTCTATGAGGACAGCATTACTCTGGAATCAAAACCAAAGATATTACAAAAAAATGAAAATTATAGGCCCAATATCACTGATAAACAGATGCAAAAATTCTCAACAAAATATTAGCAACCTAATTGATGAACCTAAAGGTACATCAAAAGAGTCACACACCATGACCAAGTAGGATTTATCACAAAGATGTAAGGATTTTTCAGTATGTGCAAACCAATCACTGTGATACACCACATTAACAAATTGAAGATGAAAAACCATACGATCCTCTTAATAGATGCAGAAAAAGCATTTGACGAAGTTCAACATCCATTTTTGATAAAAACTCTCCAGAAAGTGAGTATAGAGGGAACATATCTCAACATAATAAAGGCCATGTATGACAAGGTCACAGCTGACGTCATACTCAATAGTGAAAAGCTGAAAACATTTCCTCTAAGATTAGGAATAAGATGAGGATGCCCACTCTCACCACTCTTATTTAATATAATATTGGAAGTCCTAGCCACATCAATCAGGTAAGAAAAAGAAACAAAAGGAATGTAAATTGGAAAGGAAGAAGTAAAACTTCCACTGTTTGCAGATGATATGATACTATACATGGAAAACCCTAAAGACACCACCAAAAAACTACTGGAGCTCATCACTAAATTCAGTAAAGTTGCAGGATACAAAATTAATATACAGAAATCTATTGCATTTCTATATACTAACAATGAACTATCATAAAGAAAAATTAAGGAAACAATCCCATTTACAATCACAGCAAAAATAAGAAAATACCTAGAAATGAACCTATTTAAGGAGGTAAAAGATCTGTACTCAGAAGCTATAAGACCCTGATGAAAGAAATTGAAGATGACACAAATAGATGGAAAGATATGCCAGGCTCTTGGATTGGAAGAATTAACATTGTTATAATTATCATACTATCCAAGGCACTCTATAGATTCAGTGCAATCCCTGTCAAAATATCAAGGGCATTTTTCACAGACCTAGAACAAATAATTTTAAAACTCGTATGGAAATGCGAAAGTCCTTGAATAGCCAAAACAATATTGTTTTCTGAAGAGAAAGAAGAACAGAGCTGAAGGAATCATGTTTCCTGATTTCAGATTAAACTACAAAGCTACAGTAATCAAAACAAGTATGGTACTGGCACAAAAACAGACACATAGATTAATGGAACAGAATAGAGAGCCCAGAAATAAACCCACAAACTTACAGTCAATTAATCTAAAACAAAAGTGCCAAGAATATACAATGGAGAAAAGCAGTCTCCAATAAGTGGTGCTGGGAAAACTAGACAGCTGCATGTAAAAGAAGGAAATTAGAACATTCTTTAACACCATATACAAAAATT